GGTGTTTGGTGCAGCGGTCGCTGTTGTTGACGAAGCTATCGTGGTGTTGGTCTCTGCCGTGGTGTTTGGTGCAGCGGTCGCTGTTGTTGACGAAACTATCACGGTGCTAGTCTCCGCTGTAGTGGTTGGTGCCGAGGTCGTTGTTTGACAAAACCAGGTGGCTGTGAAAAGGGAACATAGTTGATGTTAGGTTTACGGCCGGGCAGTCGTATGGAACGAAAATTTTAAGACAGCAAAACATACACAAAAAACGTATTAGAAATTAACCATGAGCACTATTCATGTATACTTTTTATACAGATTGTTTATTTTTTGTTCCAGCAAACAACCCGGCCGGGCCCCGGCTTGGAAATGTGATCGTGCCCCACGTAAGTTAGTTTTGACAAAGAAAATTGGACATCCACAACGTCCCCGTGCGTTTTGCCATACGTGATGAATGGCCCGGATACATGACGTATGGGTCCCTTAAACGTGACGTATAGACACAAAATGGAACGCTTTTTTTACGCTCATAATTTTGACACGGAAATGATGCCGTACCATGTCAAGCAAATGTAGCCAAGACCCACCTGAAAAGACTTGAACCTCACACAGGGCCAGTACTCGGCCTGTACCGGGCAGACGGACGCCTACGTACCGCCCCAGCATCCCCTGACATGAAACTGAAATGGACGGTTGACTAAGGTTGATTTGATGGTCACCGCCACACTTGGGGTTGGTGCTGACCTGGTCAGAATACCCGATGTGGACGTTGAAGGGATTGAGTCGTCCAACACAACAAGCGTCCATTCGGTTAAAGATGACTACCCTGTTGTTATTAAAAACAAAGCAATAGCTTTAATTTATACTTATACAAGCATATAGAGAGTTCATTTTAAACACCATTGATATAAAACTTGTTATCTTAGATCAAAGTTGGGATTTGTATCTCAGAACATCCCTTTGCCAATTCAAGTATCGAAGCAGACTATATATGTTCAAAGTTTTTAGACTGTCACTGGATCTAGAATAGAGTCCATTGATTTTATAATGAACTACCCTAAGGATGGAAGGTAAAAAATGTTTAACGTTTTAATTTCACAGGAGCACACATTAAATACGACATACATATACTCGGCACAAATCTTTGAAAACTTAAATTTGATCAATATTTTGGTAATTGTTATATAGAATATACACTATTGAAAATCTTATTTACTGCAGTAACCATTTACTTTGATGATGAGGTGTGTGTGTGTGTGTGTGTGTGTGTGTGTGTGTGTGTGTGTGTTGTTGTGCACTCGATGCTTATATATACATGTGACTTGCGATACCTTATATGACAAGCTTGCTAAACAAACAATGGAATTAACAATCTGTAAATACTTAATATATGTCCTTATGTACTATATTTTAGAAGACTATATACTTTTTATCATAATTATATTTCTTGATTTTAAACCGAGGTCGATTGATTGTCAATTATAACTCCTTAGCACTCTTAAACTCTGTCATTGTAAAGAGCTAACAATTCAGACTTATTGTATGCAACTAGGTGTGTGACGTTTGAATAAACTTGAATAATAATGCTGTACACGTACCTGTCAACCACATACGACTGACCAAGATCCACCCACCAGGTTGGATCAGGATCTCCACCTTCAGTGTGTGAACAGGAACCGGATCTGTACTGCCCATTCGTGTTCCCGTCTACAGCACGGCTTGCAACTCCATTGGCGGCATTAATGCTTGTTTGATTCGCTGCCTTCCCCAAGGCGACATTGACACCTGTTTCAGGCGAGAGGGATACAAGTATCATTTCATTTCATTGAATTTAATGGTGATGTCACAGTGCATTACAAGTGGGAGCCCTGCAGTCAATACAATATACAGGACCTAGCAGAAAGTTAGGAATATCCAAATAACATAACATATTACAATAACAGTGCATTATACACATGACACATCATCATCATTAATTCATTAATATAATAATCATAAAATATTTATAGTCAAAAGTAAAGAGCAAAGATGGAATGGTTGGAAAGTCTGATAGGTTAAAATCATCACCAGTGTCTTCTTGTATGTACGTAAAGTACGTTTGTCATATGAAAATGTATAAGAGAATACATACAATCGGAGATGTTCTTATATGTAGAACCCGAAACATGAACGAATAAAACGGCAAATAGACATATGAGCAAAGACAGTTTTGACATATTAGAAGAGAACCTCTTCTTTACAGCATGACCTGCAGCACTATTGCCGCCAGTGCTTGTTTGATGTTGATCCATCTGTTAAAGTGATCTTGGTCTATTTAAGAAAGCCTGATTTCTATTGATCTTGTATTAGGCCACACCGACTAAATTGTATGGATGAGTCCGCGCGCGCATTAATTTGGGCCTGTTCCTAGGATAACACAAGAAATTCAGCTTCCTGTAATTATGATAAAAGAGTCACGACAGTGCCGCAAATCGTCAGATTGCTGTTCCACCTGATTTATTGCTGTTTTGATGATGAATAAAAGACTTCTTGCTTGTTACACTGTGTCATCTCATTCAATTTGCGTCCTAACATTTGTCGTCTCTTAGTATATTTCTAATCTAGGTATCTTGTTTTTAGGGCCGTTCCTTCAGGGTCGTTTTTCGTTATCTAGCATTAGATTTAGAGTCTCCAAAGGACGTCATCCATAAAATTTACTTGTGAATGTGTGCATGTGGCCTTACAAGAGGGACAGATTGAATGTACAGTACACGTTATAAAGAAATGAAGGTACTGGGGAAATCCCCTTGTGGTACATACTGTTTCCTTCATCCGGGCAGCAGAAACGGACTTCATAATCCAGACATACGCTGTCAGTCTGATCCGCATTCCTGCAGACGAACCCGGTGGTCGTGTCGTAGGCGTGGATGTGCTGTCCTGCCAGGGACGCCTCCTGCTGCGTGCTTGTGACGCGCGCGTGCACGGCTGTAGGCGTGGCGCAGATTTGCCCTGGATAACTCTGGCGAAGGTTGGTCAGCATCTCGTTGTCTTGAGTCCCCGAGGGTTGGTCCCGATTGAACCAGTCCGTCCAAGACCCAGCAGAGCAATATGGACCTGTAAACAATATCCAAGTTAGGGTACGATGATGTTACGTCTGTGACGTTGCCTTAGGTATCTTAATGTTCAAACGTAACACACACACGCATTTAAATGGATGTGGTGTCCGCCTAGTGCTTACATCAACTAATGGTTTAGCCCATTTATCCGCCATGTCAATGTATACAGCCACGTTTACAGTCACGCTATAAGTCATGACATATCTAAACGTCAATATTTTTAAATACGTCGCGTATTCCAGGCCAACAGTACGTGCACCTTGTTTGTATCGATATTTTAACAAAACGACAATGATGTTTTCTTTCACCTTGTGATATTCCGTAAAAGTCCAGTTCCCTGAGCCATGGCTGATAGTTGGTGTGGGAGTGCGTGATCACGAACCTCCAGTACCGCGCTGTTTCCTGGAACCCGTCGAACTCCTGGCGCTGCCGTGTCCCTGCCGTCACATTAGTGACAGTCAGGACGTCCTCCCAGTTGTGCAAACACCCGAGCATTTGCAAGGTGAAGTCTGCAATGTCGTGGGTGGTGTCTCCGACGTTGTTCAATGCGATTCGGGTCAGAGTGTGCGTTGTCTTGAGGTCAAGTACAATGTACCAGTTGTTGTAGTACAGTCTTTCATCTTGTGGGTTCCAGTAGGTCCAGATGTCCCCATCCAAGGCTTTGGCAGCATCGTGTATTACTCCGTTCCCGTCAACAAACGTTGTGCCGGCGGAGTCTACGACCCATGACGAATTCCGCTCCAGCCATTGACCTGAAAGAAGACATAGAATCATCCAACCAATCATCAGCAAGGAAGTCAAGTATTTAGCTTCGGTCTTTTCAACACAGATTACCGCCATACACATCTTGTTTAGAATGCGCGTACGTCTTACTCTCCAAGCAGAGGTTGTGGGGAATGATCGTTACCTTTTTATATGTGGCCTTTTTTTTGTCCTGATCCCCACCCGTCGGTGGCTAATGGAGCTTCTCTGGCTAATGGATACTGTCTGGCCAATTTGATACTGTCTTTTTGCCACCGAGAGGGATCTGCTTGGAGATTACGTACGTCTCCAAATCCTAATAGAACTCCTTAGCATTTTAGAAAAAAAATGTTTCGACATGATAGGGCAATTATTGATTAAGGGAACACCGTGTTACAAGCTTGGACTTCTATTTGGAGGTGACTGTGATGAGATGTGATGTTAGTTTACTTTTTAAAGTTAGAGAAATCTGTTAATTACCAGTAATTTCTGAGTTTACACCGGGTCCAACGATTTTAAAAGTCTAGTCCCTGGAAGGCTAGTTCGGGAAAAAGCTATTGTTTCTATGTTTCGGCTACACATTTTTGTGAAGTACCAGGTTACATTATGGTATAGTGTTAGCATAGTGCATAACGTGTATACACTATACATAGAGCGTTATTTTTGTCAGTCTGTATATGGCGATACTGTTTATACCAATAAAACGATGCATGAAGTATAAACATGTATTACTTCTTTTTATGAATAAAATGTGTTCCTAAAACATCGAAATGTGTCCCGGGAGCGGGGGAAGCGATTTCTCGGGAGCCGGGCAGCGAAGCCCCGGGAGCGGGAAGGGGGGTCCCCGTAGTGGGTGCAGTGGGGTCCCGAGAACGGGAAAGAGCAGGGCCCCGCTGCCGTGTGGAGAATAATTAGGTGATAATTGTCGCTAAATTATGCATATTCCAGCAACGCACGGAGCGGTGCACGGCCATTTCCTGCCGTGTACGGGGATGTACAGGGATCGTGTCCGGGCATATAACGCCCAGTACACGACCTGCACACAAAAAGTGGTTCACTTCCGGGAGTGTACAGGACATGTACGGGACTGGACACGTTTCGTGTGCAGGTCGGAAACCCCCGGGTTCTACCGGAAACCTAAAATATTCGGGAAAGTGTGCGGCAATTTCTCACACGGAAACGAGGGATTTTGTGCGGTGAAGGACAATTCTTTTATTCGTCATGAAAACAGCAATATATGATTGGAAAAGCACTTGTCGTCCTGTTTTTTTCCTGCTTATCCACATAATATTATTAAATTTCTGGGGAATGCATTGAAGTAACATACATATATAGGCTTTGTCAATACACACATAAAAAATATTAAATGGCTTTACCTATTGTGGGAGTAGTAGCAGCCCCTGCAGTTGAAGATACAACTGTGCTGGTGGCAGCTGTTGTAGTGGTCACAGCAGGAGTTGTTGTTGGTGGTGAAGGTGTGGTGACTGTTGTACAATATACCGTGTATAGAAAGAGAAAAAAATCTGAGATAAATTCAGCTGTTTTGTAGCCAAACTTGGCCAAAATATCATCGGTAGAATGGAATTAAATATAACCTGGTAAGGACAGCTGAGCAGCTGCTAAAACATCACCCCAAACATCCACCTCCACACTTTTTCTCTCTCTCTGTCGCGAAAGTTTTTCCCGTTAATGCCAAAAGACATACTTTGGTGCTTTATTAGTCATGATATTTGCTAGATTTGTAATCATGCGATTTTGTCTTGAAAATTAAGCGATGCGCTTAGCGAAGAGTACTTTACCAACCTGGTGCAGCCAACCGATCATACATGTTGCCGAGTGATGCAAAACTTTTCTCCGCAGCAGAACAGAGCCTGCTTTTCAAATGGCAGTCGTTATAATCGTTAAACTGGAAGGACAGGCAAGACGGATTGGCGCAGCATTCTGATGCACAGAACTGCAATGTAGTGCTTCGATGGGATGATATGAGAGCTCCTGAGCATCCAGTGTCGGGGACGTGACGAAACGCAGATACTCCACAAGTGGCTAAAGTAAATTTACAAAAAAAGATCATTTAAAAGGAGCACCCATACAAAAATTAAAGCTTTGTAATAAAGATTCTCAGTACCAAATGTTCAGATACACCCATCAGTCAGATTAGATGGTCTGAGAGGGTCTCTATCTCTATCTCTCTGTCTCTGTCTCTCTCTGTCTGTGTCTGTCTGTCTCTCTCTCTATCTATCTATTTATCTAGTAACTATCTATCTAGAGAGAGACCCTCTACACATACAAAGAAGGGTTAGGTGACTTTACCTGGTGTGGGAGTAGTAGCAGCCCCTGCAGTTGAAGAGAGAACTGTGCTGGTGGCAGCTGTTGTAGTGGTCACAGCAGGAGTTGTTGTTGGTGGAGGTGTGGTGTATATGAAAGCTGGCAGAAATAATTAGGAAAGGGTAAGAAAATAGGAAAAAAGATAACCAAAAAGAGTTATGTACGTCTGGCACCGCATTTCGGGAAAAGAAATCAGTAGCACACTCAACCATATATATTCTGACAAAGCAGCTAAACAGTTGCCTTGAGGTTGGGGAGGTTCTAAGGTTCTGATTGTGAAGAAAGGACTTCAATTGTGCTGTCATTTACATTATTGTTGTAACGGGGTAAATCCACAACCTTTTTACATACGAAAAGTATTATTTAGTAAATTTATTGATGTTTTGGGACTTTGAAATATTGTTTTTTAATATTCCGCAATAATCTTTCCATCTAAATATGATCAGGATAATACTTACCTATGAAATGCATCGATAAGTAAATTTCTTAACGTATTTAGAGGTGAACGAGAAAGAGAGCAAGTTAAAAAATACTCTGAAATACTCTCTTAATGTGCTCGCAAGGGATACATTTTAAAAATTGAATATGCATGCTACGTATCCATGCAGATCAAGGTGAGCAACAGTCCAGTATGGTTGCTACATGTAGCTGTATACTCGATTCCTTGTACACTTCGTCGAAAGACTGTTAAACACAACTTCGTGTGAAAGACTTTTATATGATGTGTTGTAATACTGTTGAATAAAACAAATTGAATTTGATTAAAAGGCAAAGTATAACGTGTTTCTCTATTCATAAAAAGACTGAGCCCGTTTGTATGGAAGAAACTAAACTTAGTAAACGTAAGTGCGTCTTTGTGCAATAAAGTACGGTTATTTGCTTCGCACGCTTTGTTGAAAGATTGATACAAAAGGAATTGTGTTTAATATCACGTGTTGTAAAAATGTTAAACAATGTGATCGATAGCAATGCAAAGAACTGAAAATAATGACGTATGTTCAACAAAACTTACTTGTTTCACATATGTATTTGAATGAACTGTAGCAACTTCCGTCCGACCACTTATTTCTGCGTTCACTGTTGGCTTGAAGGCCATACACAAAGTGAGAACAGAGTTTTGTAGATTCATCGGGCTCCCAGGGCGCCCAGGCAGCAAATTCCTCAAGTGCCGTACCGTTACTGTCAATCCACGTCCCGTCCGGTCTACTGAGTCCCAGCCAAAACTGAGCATTTCTGTAAAATATAATCAGTGAGAAAATGAAATTTTCCTTTTTTACCAGTTTTGTACTATTTATGGGTTCACCACCACTTCGTGCTTTTTCTGATGTTTCTTCTCCTTCTCCTGCTTCTTCATTTTAGGGCCTAAGGTCCTGAAATTTGGTATGGAGGTACAGTGGGCAAATACCCCTAGGCGTTTTTCAAATTATTGTGGTACAGGCTTTTAGAATGGTTTTATTTGAGTTTTTTGGCTGTGTTATAGCAAATGTATTACTGTGTTAGTGTGTCTTGTTTACCACGTTTGGGCATGAGTCATCACAATGGAATGCAGGGCATCAACCAACTCGGTTGGGTTAAGGCGGCCTACTCGGTTGGGTTAAGGCGGCCTAGGCTGATATCCATGTTCGAGTTCGGGCGTGTGTCTGCACGATTGCCACAAACATGTTTCGAACCCGAATCATGTTCCACCATGTTCGATATGACGTCATTCGAATAGAACGCGTGTTCGAATTCGGGGTTACCGGCGGTCATCTGTGTGTTTCCCCTGTAAACCAACGTTGTTACGCATTTTATTCACGGACTATGACCTAAACGGCTTTACGCGCAGCTGAAAACAGCATAATTGATCTTTAGAGTAATCCATGTTTACGTATTATCACTTTTTTATCAAAATTGTCCGAGGCTATTTTGCATATAAGTCGATATTTTTTAACTGTGGCGATTTTTTAACGAAAAATGACAGAAAAATAGCTGTTTCTGTCGTTTTTGGCCCAAAAAAAACAATGTAACTGTCATTTAACACAAAATAGCCTCGGACAAAAATAATAAATAGGGGGTTGGCTTTCTACTTGTAAAATATCATGATGAAAGGTGTTGTTACCGCTTGCGCATAAAGCCTTGAAGTAAACAGCTTTTTTTAACCAAAATGTTGATTTTTAACCCAAAAATCCAGAAGTAGTAAAAACAAAATAACCTTTATTCAATGTGTTTCAAGTACTACTAGAACTGTGTGAAGTTTAGTTGTGGTGCGACCAAGCTATCAAAAGTTACAGGCATATGTATGAAATACTACTCATAGTATGCCATAGGCTGCCTTAACCCAACCGAGTAGGCTGATATTCATGTTCGAGTTCGGGCGTGTGTCTGCACGATTGCCACATACATGTTTCGAACCCGAATCATGTTCCACCATGTTCGATATGACGTCATTCGAATAGAACGCGTGTTCGATTTCGCGGCTACCGGCGGTCATTTGTATGTTTCCCCTGTAAACCCGCGTTGTTACGCATTTTATTCACGGAGTATGACTCAAAAGGCTTTACGCGCAGCTAAAAACAACGTAATTCATCATTAGAGTAATCCATGTTTACGTAATATCACTTTTTTAACAAAATTGTCCGAGGCTATTTTGCTTATAAGTCGATATTTTTTAACTGTGGCGATTTTTTAACGAAAAATGACAGAAAAATAGCTGTTTCTGTCGTTTTTGGCCCAAAAAAACAATGTAACTGTCATTTAAAACAAAATAGCCTCGGACAAAAATAATAAATAGGGGGTTGGCTTTCTACTTGTAAAATATCATGATGAAAGGTGTTGTTACCGCTTGCGCGTAAAGCCATGAAGTAAACAGCTTTTTTATAACCAAAATGTTGATTTTTAACCCAAAAATTCAGAAGTAGTAAAAACAAAATAACCTTTATTCAATGTGTTTCAAGTACTACTAGAACTGTGTGAAGTTAAGTTGTGGTGCGACCAAGCTATCAAAAGTTACAGCCATATGTATGAACTACTAATCATAGTTGGCCATAGGCTGCCTTAACCCAACCGAGAATAGGCATGCAGCTTTCCTCTATTCTTCTTGCTGATTGGCTGTTGGGATTTAACTTGATCAACACCTGCACAGAGTATTTCCACCTGCACAGAGCATTTCTTGCTGATTGGCTGTTGGGATTTAACTTGATTAACACCTGCACAGAGCATTTCCATACTGACAGTATGTCTGTATTCAAGTATTTTGGTAGGTATTTCAAGCTTTCCTGCTCCAGCATTGGAATGCGGGGCATGGACGTTTTTTTTTTTTTGTAAAATCAACAGTTTGCATTATGCAATTAAAAATCCTAATCAATAAAGTAGGGAATAGCTATCCAACTGTTGTTTTAGTTATATGTTACTTCATATTATAGTTATATCAATGTAAATCACTGTTTTCCCTTGTGTTTCTCATTCTTTCCCTGCCATGTCGTAAAATGTGGTGAACCCATCGCTGTATTTGCTCCAAAGCAAATATTGGCCTTTCTGGTTTGATACAATTTTCCATAGTGAATGTAGTTTCCTAAGGGTATTTTCAAGTCTAGTGAAGAAGTAAATTGTGCCTAGCAGCACGTTGTACTGTTACACTGGCTAAAGCTAAAGTCCCATTTTAAATGGGCCTTGCGCGGCATGTTCTCGGTGTAGACACCGGCTGTCAGGGTCACAATTGAATGTTCTTTACCTCTTTTGTCGGGGCGCTGACGCGGCTTCTATTTAAAATTCATGAACTTTTGCTCCCTTTGGCGGCTGGTCGCTGTCAGGTACCCGTCTGATGCCAGGTCAGTCTCCCGTGTTGACCCTTGCGGGGTACCTTAGGGTGCCGGCCGGCTCTTACAGTTCGGCCGAGCAGCTGTCAGATACCTGGCGGGGTCCTGGGGGGGGGGGGGTCCTGGCGCGTCCCTAGCGGGATCCCGACGGGGTCTTGTCGCGTTTTGAGCCGGTACATATATAGGGGCTGCACTGCCTGTCACTGTTCACTTGTTTTCTAATGACATGTCACGTGGAGAGTACAAGAAAAATTCATGTACTACATGTTGTAAACTATATATATATAGAAAACACTATACTTACGCGTCTAGACAGTTCTTGAAAAACACAAGATACTCCTGCTCGTTCGAGTCCCGCGGCACGGCGACCATTCCTCCCACCGCGGAGCACCTTGTCTGGGCCGTGGAGTAGAGTACGCTCTCGTCGGATGGCGACACGTACGTTTTGTTATTAGGCAGACTGAGGTAACTATTCGTTGGACAACTCTCAGGAAGATCCCAAACTACAGTGAGAAAAGATATTGTATACTACCACCGGACATGTTGCACTTGTAATGGGAATTAAACTATTCTCTATCGTAAAAATAGTCACGCAAGTGCTGTAGCAACCTGTTGTCTTTCCTACGTGTGACGTCACTCTGACTCAAAGTTTGTCCAAAATAGGTACCTTCGGGTGATTCAGTCGAAAATTTGAGTCGCAGAACAGTTTCATTTTTATATTTAAGTCATAAATTACGAACTCAGATGAACTTTCTATCTAAAATAAGTTTTATTCCTTTTCCAACAGCAAGAAGTGTAGCTCACTTGCAAGGTCGCAGTTTTTCCCATCTCCGTTGAGTGTTTGTCCGAGGTGACAGGAACACTGGAAGCTGCCCTCAGTGTTGGTACAGACGTGCTCACAGCCTCCATTAGAGTTCGCACACTCGTCAATGTCTGTTTATAATAAAGGAAAGAAGTCAACCCGGAGGATTTCTTACATTTGTATATGCCTTCATTGGCACGTTAATGAAACCAAGTGTCAATCTATGATAGATAAAGAACATCACATGGTCATCATTGCAATCATCAAGGTTAAATCCGGCACGTCTTCCTGCAACCCTCAGAGGAACTCACTGGAATTCTGCCGACCGAAGTATCCGGAACGCGAGTAACTTGCTCAACTACAAGTGGGCACCCTTACTTTGTTAAAGTGCCAAGATCCAACACTCAGCTTCACATGTCCTCATATGTACCAAGGACTAGCAGGCTGTGGAACTCCTTACCAGCCTCGGTTTTCCCTGACAGTCCTAACATGACTAAGTTCAAGACTGCAGTAAACAGATTCTTGTTGAATTCCTCCTAGAGATTTTCTACTTTTTGACAATAATGTACCGTGTAATTATGTATTATGTATAATGTATTTGATAAGGGTATGTATGTGTAATCAAGCGAGGGGAATTGATGTGACATATTGAACCGAAGATCATCGTTATACAGTGTTAAGATCAGTTTCACTCTGCAATGATTAGAAAAAAAATGTGTTTTTACATAGTGGAATGAATACACAAAAAATATGAAAATGTGAATGATATTATAAAATATTCTACAAACATGGATATGCACCATTGAATAACACATCTCCAACTAAGTTATCGCTAGTCATACATAAGAAAATATATATGTAGATTACCGTCACACGATATGCCATCATCGTTCACTTTGTAGCCAGTATTGCAGGAGCATGAGAAGCTGCCGACAGTATTAGTGCAGTTCTGTGGACATCCACCGTTTTCTGTAGCACACTCGTCTACATCTGCGAAACAACAAGAGATTGAAGCAAAAAAAAGTTAAAGGAGGCGGTTGAAAATAAGGAGAGACCCTAACCCTAACCCAACCTAAACTTTTAAAGGACTTCGTCCCTGCAATCGTAGAGTTATTGACAAAAACCAAATTTACCAAAAAATACCCATATTTGTTAACGGTTACTTTTGCTAGTTATCGTCCAGTGCACGTGATTTGTGTTACATAGAGCTCATTGGAAATCAGTTAACACAGTTTCTGGCCACACATGACCTCCTTAGGGACTGTACGATATTTACCGG